GCCGACCCTAGAGCGCCCGCAGGCCGACCCTAGAGCGCCCGCAGGCCAACGCTACAAGCTGGCTGACTGAACGCCCTAGAAGAACTGACTAAAAAAACAAACTTCGCTTTCATACCAGGGCTTAATTTGTACCGGATCCTGCCGGAGTAGGATCCGGGAACTCTTATTTTGAAAGGGTGCATTCCGGCAACTGTTTGCATGGATCCGGTAATGCTCACGCTTGCCAATAATAAAGTTATGAACAAATTAACAAGGTCCATGCTCAATAATCCAGGTATACAATCCAACATTTTTCAGTCAGGTCAACTGGACAGTTTTTTTTGTGTGTTGAAATGTTTCGCCTTCTATCCAGAAGACTTCATAAGTCAAGGAAACACACAAGAAAACTGATTCTTCCCCCAACAGCTTACTCCAAAGTGGAACAAACCAGTTTTGCTTGTGATAAGATGGTCTCTTTGACGAAACTGGTTGAAAGTAAGCTGGTTTGGAGTAAGCTGTTGGGGGAAGAATCTGTTTTGTTGTGCATTTTCTTGACTGATGAAGCCTTCCGGATTGAAGGCGAAACGTTTCAGCACAAAAAAAAAGAAACTGTCCAGTTGACCTGACTGAAAAATGTTGGATTATGAACAAATTGATCGATTTACAAATCAAGCCGTATTGATACTTGTTTTTTTTTTTCTCGCTAGCAGTGGAAAAGTTTTCTTGTAGCGATGCGCGACTGGAGCTTTGAAGTTTTAAGAAGCGTTCCCAGTTGGACCGAAAAGATTTGACGCTTTAGAGTCTCAAAAGTCGACCATACCTGTGAGCTCAGGTGCTGAGCTGCAACTGTAGCAGCAACAAACGTGTATATAACGAATGAAGCGAGACCAGATATTAAAATCATTCGTATAACTTATGGTAGCGTATAAATCTAAACGTCATTGGTCACGTGGAAACGGATCTGATCCGAGCCCAGTTTTGAACCGTGAACCAGACTCTGGGGCTTCAGTGTTGAACACCCAAAGTCTTCGGTCTTGAGGGAAACAGGTCTGTGATGCTGCAGTTTGGACAAAATGTGGAGCAGTTCAAGTTCTGCGAGTATTTTTCAAGATGCCGTATATTTTTCATCCCAATCTAATCTGTGTTTTCAGGTTTTGCCATCGAGGGACCTTCTCAGGCTAAAATCGAGTGCGAAGACCAAAACGACGGCTCGTGCGACGTTCGGTACTGGCCTACAGAACCTGGAGAATACGCCGTCCATGTGACCTGCGACGAGGAGGACATCGAACGCAGCCCGTTCATGGCCTACATCGTCCCCGATGACGACACCAACCACCCAGAGAAGGTCTTTAAGACGGGGAGACGACAACAATCCAGTTTCCATGGATTGACTCCGCTTGTTTACACAACTTGAGTGGTTTAAAGTGAAAGATGATGGTTTTCATTTTGTTTTTGTGGTTTTAGGTTCAGGCTTATGGTCCGGGCCTCGAGAAGAACGGCTGCCTGGTCAACCAACCTACTGAGTTCACCGTGAAGGCTGAAGGTGCCGGACAAGGACCTCTGAAAATCACAGCACAGGTGAGACACTCCAGTCTACACAAACACCGTTCACGTGAATCTTCTGTTGAGCCAAGGAAACAAATTATGTCATCTGTAGTGCAGTTTAGAAATAAAAATACTGAACTATCTTCAGCCGACTGTTTTTTTTAATAATCTGCCACAATGAAAGGCGGGAGATCATGTAGCTGTCCGTTTAACAAAATCCGCAAACAAGTTCTATTGAAACTCAAAGTAATCGTCGGATGTTCTCTAAGAACATTTGACGTTAACCTCATTCAAGATGGCCGCCGAAAAAGACTGACTCGTATAATCTAATTTGGTAGTAGCTGAGGCTGATTCCCAACTCGTACTCCGAGTGTTAACAGATGGGTAAGTAAGGCTGCGGGCGATCAGTCTGTTAGCAAAATATTGAACTTGGATGTAGATCTCAGTTTTAGGAGTCTCCCGTCAGTTTGATAGTTAAAGGGGTAAATAAGTATTTTGTTGTTTTATACAAGTTTAACTTTATCATTTTACACCTTTTAACTGTAACAATCTAAAGTTCTTCTGAGTGCGATCAGCTGACCTCTGAAAACTATTTTAATTTTAATTTTTTACATTGAATTGAATTAGGAGGCTTAAAAACATCTTCATGCCCAATTTTTGATTTGGCTAAAATAATATATTTGGAAGTCACAATGCAAGTAAAAATTTTAATGCATTTTGCAGAAACAATAAGGAAAGAAGTGATTTAAAAAAAATATTCTAAAGGTTCAGTTTATAAATTTACATAGTTTGTTCAGCTGTCCTTTATTTTTAACAATTAAATGATAATTAAATAATTTTCAACTATTTCAAGTTGTGCTTGAAAAGCTCTAGACTGGTTTGTCATTCTCAATGCATTTAAGAGTTCTAAGTATTATTTATGGCTTAAGCTCGTGATTTAAGTTGATTTAATAAGTGAAATTTGAAAAATGACCGTCAAATGCATTGAAAATAGTGTTAGCAAAATGCTAACTTGCAACACTCGCCCATAAAGTCTTTTCATGTTGAATGACTGAAAAATAAAAGCAGAAATCGTAAGAAAATAAAGAAAATTTATTTTCTGTGAAAATGCTGCGTGAGCGCTGAATGACTGCTGAAATGTGCTGCTAACAGCAGAACACTTGCTTAAAGCTAAAAGTTGCTAAAGGCTAACTGAAAGACTAGCTGAAAGTGACCAAAAGTAGCAAAATGTTGCATGTAAACTGGAGAAAACAAACTTTTAACTAATAACTTGAAGCAACACGTCTTTACAAACATTTAAGTGGTTTAAAAATGTAATATTTTACAGTTTAAACACGTCCGAGTCCAGCAGCTTCGTGTCTTTGACCTCTTTCGTGTTTGTCCATCAGGAGGCAGAGGGGCTCCCTGTGGAGGTGAAAGTCCGGAGTAAAGGCGACGGGCTCTACCAGTGCTCCTACACGCCCGCCTCCTCACTCAAACACACCGTCTCCATCACCTGGGGGGGAGTCAGCATCCCCAACAGTCCCTTCAGGGTAAGCAGCCAATCACAGCGCCCCGTTAACGCAGGAAGTGCTATAACGCAGCTCACATTTAAGAACCTGGTCGAGACTGAAAGCACCAGCGTCGTCTCATCGGAGCGTTTATTCAGAGCGGAAACAATCGGCGTGTTTGGGTCGGAGCGGTCCGTTCAACGGGACTGTTTAAAGAAATCTTCATCTGGGCCCAAAACAAAGAAACCTCTGATCATTATCACGTACACCGAGGAGCGGTTCAGCTATTAGCACCTGCACCGCATCGCTGATGAAGAGAAACGAGCTGCTGCGGTCGGGTTCACCCAGTTTCAGATGTTTACGATCTTTGTACTTACGTAAGCCAACCCTACAAACCGGATTTAAACCCGACAACTTGATTAACGAGTTCCTGCAGCTTTGAAGCCAAGACTCGATAAAATACTCCGGCCCGACTCGACTCTGACCCGACTCTGACCCCGGCCCGACTCAGAATCCGGCCCGACTCTGACTCCGGCCCGACACTGACTCCGGCCCGACACTGACTCCGGCCCGACTCTGACTCCGGCCCGACACTGACTCCGGCCCGACACTGACTCCGGCCCGACTCTGACTCCGGCCCGACACTGACTCCGGCCCGACAC